AAACAGTCCTTGTGACGAGCAGTGGTTGTGCATGCCATTTCACTTCACGGGATGCCATGACTGAAGAGGAGCTTGAGATAGCGGACGTCAGGAATTAGGGTTTAGGGTTTAGGGTTTAGGGTAGTAGCCTCAGCTTGTTCAGTCCTAAGTTCTCTACTCTCTTGCGCGAATCCTCGGCTCTGGAGCCCTAAGGATTAAATCCAAAATCCTTGGCATTGGCCTTAGCCCTACACCCCAATCCCCTAAACCCTACTTCCTAAACCCTAAGCCCTTAAACCCCAAAGACCCAACATCCCTAAACCTAATCCAGTAAGGCTGCAGCATCCGAACATAGTGCAAGGCTTGGACTTCTTCGGCACAGAGCACTTTGCAGTTATCGCATTAAGCTACCACGCAGGCAACACACTCTACAGAGCTGTGAAACTTCATGGCTGTTAGTAGGACCAGGTTTAGGGTTCAGGGCTATGGGTTTAGGGTACTTAGTGGGGAATCAGAGAATGGAGCAGCAAAATGCAAGTTGCAATATGACGTTGAGTTTTGGGCTTAAGGCTTCTTGGTGGTTAGTAGGCAATGGAGGATTGTTTCCTTTGAGTAGTTCCTCAAGAGCCCCCATACCAGTGCTGACATTTCATTCCGACCTTCGTGATTACTTTACACACTAACCTCCAAAACCTAGACCTTAAACTCCAAACACTAAACCCTAAATTCCAAACCCTAAACCCTTAGCCCTACAACCTGGAATCCGAAGCCCTACACCCTAGAACCCTCGAACCCTAACCACCAATAAGGAGAGACTCGGAATTGGGCCACTTTCTTGAAGACACCTCGCGACATCTCTTCCGCATGTTGCTCTCAGCAACTTGCGCTTTTTTAAGGTTAGGGTTGGAGGGTTTGAGCTTGGGGTTTCAAGTTTGGGGCTTTGGGGGCAAGTGAACTCCGAGACAATGCGATCTATGAGAATGACCATAAAAATTAATATAGATGGATGATGATTTCTTGTTTTTATCGGAACACTTGTAGGGCCACTACGCCTTCAGCACCCGTAAGGCGATTGACTACCTGCACCAGCGCCGCATCGTGCACCGAGATGTGAAGGCAGACAACATCCTGGTATCATATGACCTCATGGACCTGCACTTGCTCGACTTCAACACCGCTCGCTCGCTGACCGAAGGAGGCTCCCTCACCATGACAGGCACCATTGACTATTCCGCGCCAGAGGTGCTGAATGGAGAGTCTCCATCGGAGCGTCATGATGTGTGGGGCGCAGGCCTGTGTCTCCACTGGATGCTGCTTGGCAGGCTCCCGCGGTCTGCGTCGGGCTTCCCAAGTCTATCAGACTTTGAAGAAGCCGTCCGGACAAACCCGGTGAAGTGCGATGGGATCGAGTGGACCGAGACATCCGAGGACTGCAAGAACATCATCAGGCTCTGCCTCAGCATCTCTATGCAAGACCGGCCGGCACCAATGGTACTGCTATGTCTCCCATGGTTGCAGGAGGAAGAAGATCCCCCGAAGATGCCAAGGCAGTCGACATTCCCGAGCTGGTCAAGTCTAGAGACTGATGAGCCGGATTGGGACATGTGGCCAAGCCTTGACGCGGAAAGCGTGCAACAAACACCAGTTTGGACTTCCTTTCACCGTTCAGAGGCTGAAGGCAAACAGCATGATTCCGTGCTTGCTGCCTTTCACCGCCTAGATTGCGCGAGCAGGCAGCTTTCCCCAGTAGCAAAGCCCGGTTTTTTGGAAGACGAGAGCCGAGCGCCAGCCTTGGCCGCTTTCCAGCGTTTGGATGCGGAGAGCCGGCAGGTGACCCCATTAAAGCTCGCTCTTCAGAAACTTCAGAGCAGGGAGCTCCCTGAGTTGGGAAACTAAGGAAATTTCTTATCGGAGAACTCCCTTGCAGACAGCAGAGTTGTCCGGTCAAGGGGCAGGAGACGGAGTCTTCGTCACTTTGAGCGGTCATTTTGCTGCGCTAAATCCGATTTTTTGTATCATACTATACTTATTGTTTGTGATCCGCATCTACTGCAGAGCTATCATCATTGATGATGGCCGCTTCGATACAAATTTGCACCGCCCCCCCTGCGGGGACTTGCTCAAGGGGTCTCCCTGGCGCCCCGGCTTGCAACACAAGACTCTGAGCCCTACACCCTGAGCTACCCTGAAACCCCAATTAAGCCCCACACCTGAAACCCTAAACCCCAAGCCATGGACCCTAAATCCTTAAGTCTAAACTACGCACAGCGCCGGGTCGATGCCAGGAGATGCCTGGGTGAAAGCGGGTATAGGCCCCAGAGTTGAGGGTTGAGGGTCGTTATATAGGCACATAGGGTTTAGGGTTCAGGATTTGGAGTTTGGAGTGTAGGATTCAGGATTTAGAGTTTAGGGTTTAGGGTTGAAGGTTTAGGGTTTAGGTATTAGGGTTCAGCGTATTCGTTATTAGGGCTTATACAGGAGGATAGATAGGGAAATCTTCAATACTTGGTTTATATAGGGCTTATGTGAAAATTTGCAACTGCTATTTGGGGTTTTGGGTCTAGGATTCTTTGATACAGGGCCTTTTCAGGGTGGCAGAGGATGATGTAGGGTCTATATGAGGTTTGTTTAGGGTTTATCCAGGTTTTAGCAGAATCAAATGGGCAAGAACATGGAAAATGAAACGGAAATTTCGATTATTTGGTGGTTTATAAGGTTTTGGGTCTTGGATTTTAGAGTTATGGATTTTGGTTTTGAAGGTCTGCGGTTTTGCTTTTAGGGCTAAGGGTTAGGCTTTCAGAATTCAGGCATTTCGACTGGTGCAACACGGAGACCATCTAGTGTTTAGCTGCCATATTTGCAGCTAGGGTTATTGTTATGAGTGGTACTCCTTATTCTGGCCTTTAATGTCCCTACAAGATCACCCTTGATTTAATGGAGGGACGAGCCTGTCAAGTTTGCTCGTTAGCGGATGAAGTTCCAGGACGAACCCGAAATTGTTGGGTCCCTATTCCGGGGCTTTTCTAACTTCAACATAGCTTGAGGTTTGAAGTGTTTCGAGCCCGCATTTGATGAATTCGAAGCTGCGTGAGGATGCTGTCCACTGATACTTTTCAGCCTTCCTCTCGTCTGAGATATAAGTGGGGATATAGGTGGTGGTACAAACTATAGTCCTTGTTATAGGGGCCCCCAAAATTGTAACTCCCAATTCTGGGAAACCCCCAAGTTAAGAACAACAAAATTGATCCCTAAGGATTACTTCTGTGATTCGAGCTGAAATCCAGGCGACAGCCTCGCGGGCGGTTCTCGTCCTAAAATTCAAGAAACGTCCTAGGTAGGGAAGACCAGGTTAAATGTTTTAGTCTCCTTAAAGTAACATTTTCAACGGCACTGGTGTCTCCTAGCATGCCTACCTAGGAATTCGCCCCAGAGCAGCTGTAGCGACAGGAAGTTGCGCAGCTGCTCGAAGGCCCCAGTAATCATTCTCCAACCTGATGTAGACAGCTACGTTTGGTGGCAGCGTGGAGCTGCGAGCGCATTTGCAGAGTAGCACCAGGCTTGGCAATGCGCCTTTGCCATGTAGAGTTTAGGATTTTGGGGCTTAGGGTTTGGATGTTTAGGGTTCAGGAGTTGGGGTTTTGGATTTGGGGTTGCCGTACGGTTGCCATTCCCTCTTCTGCGTTTGCAAGATAGCCATGGTCTGAGCATAGGCAGGGTTTGGGGTTGTAGGACTTAGGATTTCGATAAAGATTACCACTCCTGTTCGGTATGGCGGGCTCGGGGGGGTCCTTATGATATTACTCTGGAACATAGCCACCTCATGAAATAGGGTTTGCAGATTAGGGTTTAGTTTTCATGGTTTGGAGCGTTAAGGGTCGCCGTTGGTGCTATCCCTCCTTCACCTGCTACTGCAACAGCAGCGACTATTAGAATTGCTCCTCTGCTACCAGCTACCCACTATTGACAAGAATTAGCAGATAATAAGACTAAGCAGAACAACAAGAAGAAGAAACACGACATGAACAACAACGACGACGACGACATAAACTGCACTTGCAACTGTAATTGCCATTACTACTACTACTACTCATATTGTGATTATTATTATTATTACTACTGCAACAACAACATCTACTACTACTATAAGTATTCTTATTATTGCTACTCCTACTACTCCTACTTCTACTGCCACCGCCACCGCCACCGCCACCGCCACCCCCCACGTCCACGACCCCCACCCCCACCCCCACCACCACCACCGCCGCCGCCGCCGCCAACGCCAACCAACCCCAACCCGCCCAACCGCAACGCCAACCCCAACCCCAACCCCAACCCCCAACAACCAACCGCCAACCGCCAACCGCCAACCGCCAACCGCCACCAGCCGCCAGCCGCCAGCCGCCAGCCCACCACCACCACCACCACCAC